AAATTACAGTCAAGTATCAATTTCCTATACCAATACTAGAAGATATGCTTGACTTTTTGGCCGGTGCACTTTGGTTCTCCAAAATTGATTTGCGCAGTGGTTATCATCAAATCCGAATTAGGCCAGGCGATGAATGTAAAACCGCCTTTAAAACCCAGGATGGACTTTATGAGTGGTTGGTCATGCCTTTTGGATTGTCTAATGCACCTAGCACATTTATGAGGGTTATGACTCAGATACTACGTCCTTTCCTAGGAAAATTTGTGGTGGTTTGTTTTGATGACATCTTGATCTATAGTAAGTCTAAAGAAGAGCACTTGGATCATCTTTGACAAGTTTTGCAAACATTACGTGTGGAAAAATTCTATGCGAACCTTAAGAAGTACTCCTTTATGCAAACTCAAGTGTTTTTCCTCGGATTTGTTATTTCTGCGCATGGTATTGCAGCTGACCCAGAGAAAATTCGTCCTATTAGGTTTTGGCCAATGCCAAGAATAATTTCTGAGGTTCGAAATTTTCATGGTTTGGCCACCTTCTATAGACAATTTATTAAGGGGTTCAGTTTCATTATGGCTCCCATCACAGAATGCATGAAAAAAAAGGAGTTCCAATGGACACTTACTGCAACTAGAGCCTTTCAAGAAGTTAAGCACAAGATGACAGAGGCACCCGTCCTTCGACACCCAGATTTTTCTAAGGTGTTTGACGTTGCCTGTGATGCATCTAGTGTAGGGATAGGTGAAGTTTTGAGTCAAGAAGGTCATCCTATTGCTTACTTCAGCGAAAAACTCAATAACACTAAACAACGATACTCTACATATGACAAAGAGTTCTACATTGTTGTACAAGCTTTCCGTCATTAGAGGTATTATCTATTGCCAAATGAGTTTGTGCTATATTCTAATCATCAGGCATTGAAATACCTTCATTCCCAGAGAAAATTGAGTGTTAGGCACGTTAGGTGGATTGAATTCTTTCAGGAGTATACTTTTGTTCTTCACCACTAAGCGGGTATTGAAAACACGTCGGTGGATGCTCTTAGCCGTGTAGTTGCTGTTTTACAGAGTATGAGTGTTCATGTGATCGGCTTTGATAGGATTAGAAATGAGTATGCTTCTTATCCTGACTTTGGTCTCATTTTTCAAGATGTTCAGGTTGATAACCGTCATGAGTACATTGACTTCCTCCTTAGAGATAGTTACTTGTTTAGAGGGTCGCGCTTATATATTCCCCATACTTCACTTAGGGATTTCCTGAATTAGGAATTATATATGGGAGGTCTGGCAGGCCACTTTGGTAGAAATACGACATTTGCACTTGTTGAGGATAGGTTTTATTGGCCCACTTTGAGGCGTAACATTATTAGAATAGTGCCACAGTGTCGCACTTGTCAATTAGCAAAGGCTAGGAAACAAAACACTAGGTTGTACACACCATTACCAGCTCCACACACACCATAGAGAGACCTTAGTATGGACTTTGTCTTAGGATTGCCTAAAACAACTCATAGTCATGATTCTATTCTAGTTGTCATGAATCGGTTTTCTAAGATGGCCCATTTCATTCCTTGCACTAAGTCTACTAATGCCTCATATGTAGTAAAGTTATTTTTTCGAGAGGTCGTCCGACTACATGGGTTGCCTATTTCCATTGTGTCTAATGAGATGCCAAGTTTGTGAGTTATTTTTGGAAGACACTTTAAAAACTCTTTGGGACTAGTCTTAAGTTTTTTTCTACCTTTCATCCCCAAACTGATGGTCAAATTGAAGTTGTCAATCGTAGCTTAGGAGATTTGCTTAGATGTCTAGTGGGTGAGAAGATAGGAAATTGGAATTTGTTGTTGCCTACTGCTGAATTTGCCTATAAGGCTATAACAACTCCGTTAACAGGTCGACTAGTAGATCCCCTTTCGAGATTGTTTATGGTCATTCCCCTAGATAGCCTATTGATTTATTACTTTTACCTCCTGATTCCCGCACTTCGCACTCAGCCGAAGTTTTTGCCTAGCATATTCATGACTTGCATGCCGACATAAGACAAAAAATTACATTAAGTAATGAGAATTATAAATTAGCTGCAGATGTTCATCTTAGGAATAAAAAATTTATAGTGGGAGACTATGTCATGGTTCGTGTGTGTCCTGAACGTTACCCTAAAAATTCTTTCAAAAAGTTACATGCTCCAGCCACCGGCCCTTTTCATATTCTTTGTATGCTTGGACCTAATGCATATCACCTTGACTTACCTTCGAATATGAGTATTAGTCATATTTTCAATGTGGAAGACTTGTTTCCTTATCATGGTACTTTTGAACCTCCTATGTTGCCAACAGGTGTTCCTACAGGTGGAGTTACTTCGTCATCAGTATCACCTAGAGTTCATGTTCTTCCACCGTTTTCACCACAGTTACATGAGCAGATTGCAGATATGTTTGACGATCAGATTGTGGGCTCCTCGGATGGACGATATCATCGTTATCTTGTTAGGTGGAGAGATCATCCAGAGACTAATGCTTCATGGATTTACTGAGGAGGAATTTCGTCGCCTTGACCCTGATCTTCTAGAGTATTATCATGATCGTATCTCTCCAGTGGCGAGTTCTTTTCAGCCAGGGGGAAATGATAGAAATCGGATTATATTTTGTTATAGTGATGGCGCTTTACGACAAGAAACTGTATGTCATTAAAGTCCCACACGCACATATATCATTTGATAAAAGTTCCACAAGAGACATTAGTCCTAGTGTTGAGGAAGAAATTGTGGTGGGGTTTGAGGATGAGGCGCTGACCCTGGTAGAGAGGCTTACTGGTATACAACAGCAGTTGGAACTAATACCGATTGTCGGGGTGGCGGGTCTTGGTAAAACAACCTTGGCAAGGAAAATCTACGATCATCCTCTCATCGTGTATCACTTTTATGTTCGTGGATGGACATATGTGTCTCAAGTGTATAGAAAGAGGGACTTGCTGATTAGCATTCTAAGTTCTATTGTGAAAGATAAAGATGACATAAACAGTACCAGTGATGAAAAGTTGGGAGAAGAGTTATACCGACCAAGGATCAAAATTTCGTTTCGAAGTACCGTTTCGGTCAACTCAAAAATAGAAACGTTTCGGAAACATTTCGGAAACGCAATGGAAACGCAGAAAAAATATGGAAACGCATAGAAACACAAATGCAATCCATTAATTTATAAAGATATGCTAAATAATTTATTAATTCAACATATTTATTAGGTTAACATCAATTTATACAAGAATAAATTTAAATTTGAGGGGAAAAAAGGCTTGACTTGAGGCGAAAATCACTTAAATTAGTTTCAAACACTTAATTTTTATGAAATAACCACATTTTTACATAATATTAAGGTCTTATAATACACATGAAATGCTAATGAGTACATACTTACATGGTTACATCCATTCCCCTGTGGAGTGTCGAGCAGGCTCATACATCGGTGTAGGCTCTGGGTAGCTACTTAGAGAAACTCCATATGTGACATAAATATGATGACAATAGTTACTCCAAATCATATTATTACGGTAATATAATCCAATTAATAATACTATTTTATTATAATACTAATAATGAAGGGTATCAAATTAAATTAATGATACTTATGTATACTTAAAAATTAAATGTAATTGCAGTGGGTATTAAATGTAATTACAGTCGGTATTAAATATAATTACATTAGGGTATTAAATGTAATTGTTAATACTTATAACAAAAAAAAAAGCAAAAAACTTGCACAACAGTGAGGTATTAAATATAATTACAGTATGTATTAAATATAATTATAATGGGTATTAAATATAATTATAGTAGGGTATTAAGTGTAATTATTTATTCTTATAACAAAAAAATTATAAAAGACAGAAGAGCAGTGGGAATTAAATGTAATTATAGTGGGATATTAAATATAATTATAGTGAGTATTAAATGTAATTACAGTGGGTATTAAATGTAATTATAATGGGGTATTAAATGTAATTATTCATAATGAACCGAATATATCACTGTTTTGTCGAAACGGTTCGAAACAATGCCGTTTCGACCGAAACGGTTCGAAACAATGCCGTTTCGACCGAAACGGTCCGAAACAGTACCGTTTCGACCGAAACACTGGAATTTTATGATTCAACTACTGTTTCGTTTCGGAGTGTTGAAATTCCGAAACGTTTCGGACGTTTCGGACGTGTCGACACGACATTTTGATCCTTGATACCGACGATTGAAGGGTAGGAGATATCTGATTGTCATAGATGACATATGGCAAACAAAGGCTTGGGATGATTTGAGAATATACTTTCCAAATGATTACAATGGAAATCATTTTATTAGGAGTTATTTGTCATTTTATTTTTCAGGGACTTAGTTATCATTTTGATTATTTATTTATTTTAGAGTTTGTGATCTCCTTATATATATAGGATTTATGAACTCCTGATATATATATATATAGAGGATACATATTTGTTATAGGATACTTTTGATTATTATTGATTATTGATATTGAATCCTTCTTCCTTAAATTCTCTCTTTGTTCTCTTCCCTTTCTTCTTCTTTTCTCATCCCCTTTTTCTTCCCTTCTCATCTCTAATTCTTCCTTACTACGATCTACATCAATTTGGTATCAGAGCTATTACGATCTACATCATATATCTACTTCATTCATACCACTTGACCCATGTAACCATTACCGATGCTAAACCCATTTAAATTGTACTTGAACAACCTATCATCGGTTGTCCCCATCTCCTCCATCCCATCTATAATCGACAATCTCTATCTACATCTCTAATCTCACCCGCCACTTTTTGCAGAATTTTGATGTCTTGAAGCCTTAACATGAAGACTACAAAAATATGTGTGGAGATTTCAACAGAAAACCAATTCAAGAAAAGAAGCAAGCCCCTCCCTTGAGGTGATCTGACACGATTCTAGATAGGTTGATGCCAAAAAATGTAGTGACACACAAAGTGCACTTGAGGTTCACGGCTTATGGAAGGTTCGGTCTGGGTTTTGAATCAAAAGGGGTTCACTTTGTGTCCAATACCAAGCACTTTTTCTTTTGATAGCCTTTGTATGAATGGCAACTATTCCTTCGTATCACCTGTTTACAGCTTTCAGAATAAAGTCCTCTCTAACAATTGGCGTTGAAGTACTGTCAGAAATTGAAGAAAGAAAGAGCTGGCAAATGGGTAGTGGTATTCTGTGTGTATTGGAAAAAGATCACCTTTTTCAATTTTGTGCTATCACTATTAGTGTGGAGCTTGTTCTTGTTGTGGGTTGGTTTGGGTTCAAGGTGTATCATAATGGTACAGACAGTACAGAGTTTTGTGAGATTAAGTCACTGGTGTGGAAGAGGATGTGCAACATCATCAATCCAATAGTGTTGGTGGTGGTCGGCGGGATGGTGTGCTACTAGCCTACTATAGCATTAGACACCAGTTGAAGGTGGTGGGCTGATGATGGGTATTTTTTTGTTTTTGGGGGGCGGGGGGAGAATAGCAGACTTGACCCAGTTTGTGGGTGTGGGATTTGGTTTTCTCTCTCCCAATTATCTGTATATCTAAGTATATTACTTAGTTAACATAATTGCTTAATATGTAAACTTATATAAAATCCATGGGTAAAAGGGTAAAACATGTATTTCCATCACGTTTATTACGCAACAAAAACTAGCAAGGAGTGTCAATGAAATTTCAGATAATATAGGAGGTGTTGAGGGCAATGTTCAGGAGTGTGGATGAAGTTTTCCCATTTATTTTTATTAAGTAAAAACCACAGATTGATATGCAAATCCTGTATGAAAACTCATCTGTTTGAGCTAGAAATGCCTGTAACAGCATCATCTCCTCAAATTCAGGTGGTTTTCCCTATCCGTGTTAGATTGTGCAAGTAAATTCAAGGAAAAAAGAATATGTTACCAGTAGATGTCTATAGATTTTATGACGAGCAGCCATTATCAGTCCATCCTCCGTCCATGCAGTAATCTCCAGTACATCACTAGGAAAACTGTCCTTCTCAATCACAAGGCTGTGATACCTACCAGCGGTGAAAGGACTGAAACAAGTACACATATATCAAAACTTAGTCATAATAAGGGGAATTGATGGCGTATTAGGATAGGGCCTGTACTAGCCAATTATGTACAAGTACTTAAACCAATTCTTTTTTCATTTTCTGCTTAAAGTAAGCCCATGGCAGGTCTGTACTAGAAGGAAAGATCATCAATACTTACATATTTCTAATGATATGATTAGTAAGACAACAGGGTCCTAAGACAGTCAAGTCACATAAATAAGAATTTTTTTGTTTGGGAGGCGGGTCATAGAAACCAAAAGGGAAGCAAGAATGGGAAAAGTAAATATATAAGAGTAATGTAGTGGGAAGTAAAATTCAACAAAAACTTAGAAAAATACTTAAATGTATTAGCTTCAATACGAAAAAGGAAAATAGAGTACTGAAATAAGATGAGAACGATTAAGCATGAAAAATCAAAGTGCTTGTAGGGTAATTTTTTAAGATGTGGAAGAGGAAGACACATTCATTATTTAATAAATAATGTAACCAAAAACGCGAGAATTTCTTCTTCTAAAGATGACAAGAATATATCATTTTAGAATATGAAAAAGGAGAAAAACAAAATTGCATCAAAAGAGGAAAAGATAACTCGGTTGCTAAGAGAAATAACTCATATAAGACATTTTTTTTCACCTCTAAATGCACAATATAAAGGCCAGAACTACCAAGTGGATGCCATAAAACTGAAAGAAACTTACTTTGACAAGCCTGAAAACAATCCATCCTCCACACCCTCATTATAATATACAAGGGAACTTTTGCCATGCATAACACCATAAGGAGAACGCACGATTTTCCCTGTATACCAATATCTCAATATTATCAAGTTGCATAAACACCATAAGCAAGAAGCTGAGCAAGTAGACCCTGCTCCCAACCCCTCATCCTGTAGGGGGATAATACAAATACTCATTTTCTTTCTCACAGATTAGATACATGCACTTGCAAATTAAAAAAAAAAAATCTATAACCGACAAATTGTAGCTCAACTCATCAAGTCCTTAATTTATTACATCTTCCACCCAGATCAATGAAGAAGGGGGAAGTCAGTTGATTCTTCCGAAGAACCAGAAGCGAAGCGCTATGCCGGGGCGGGGGGACGGGAAAAGAAACGGCTCCGAAGAAAGAAATTGGGGTTCCCAATGCTTCTCCACGCTCAACGAGATGCATAAACCTCGGGATGCTTTACTCCTAACCCCACAAGGCTCCGAGATGGAGCTTAACCTGCACTCCTTAACAGTTTTCATTTATCAGTTTAATGCCATTAACCAGAATCACATCATTTCAAACTAACTGAGCCTTTTGGACCACATTAGGTGCAAGATTGCTGGTATGACAGGCTTCAAGACTACAGGACAGGAACCTCCCCCTCCAAATACAATGGAAGCTACCTGACCGTTCACTTTGTCGACCATTGTTTTGTGTTTTTCAGTATTCCTAATTAGTCCCACCAAGTTGATCATTGTTGATGCTCTTTCAAAATTGGATGGGGAGCAATCTATCATAACAGAAGGCTCTCCATCCAATGGTATTCTTTGTGGTTCTCTCTGTGATTCCTGATGGACATAACACATTGCCTTGGCCATGCCAAGGTCTGTGATTTCTTTTTTGATCAATATCCTTACAGTTTACTGAGAAATAAACTTTTTGCATGCCGGGGTAAGGCTATATACATCTTACCCTTCCCGGATCCCCCAGTGGCGGTGCACTGGGCCACCCTATTTTACTTGTAGATTACCAAGAAAAAAACCTAATCAAGCCACTGCATCTTATTGCACAACACAAAACAACCACTGCTGATGTTCGAAATACCTTTTCTTCCCATTGAACACTATTCCTTCAACAAAGTAATATAACCAATCCACTTTGATTTGTTGGGCAGTATAGCTAGAATTGGCTGGCCACAACGCAATTCAGAAGTATTTTGAACATCTTAGACACCTTGAATGACATTTTTGAAAACAAGTGATGGATTAACAAAATGAAAAAAAAAAAAAAAAAAAAAAAGCCTAATTGGTACCTTTTGTGACCCCCTCATTCTGCTGGAGACTAAAAGACACCCCATATTGAGAAGAAATAAGCCTAAAAACTTTTGCTAAACTTAGCAACTCTTCTACTACTAGTGTTTCTTCCTCCAGCCTCTTTATCTGTTCGGATAAATGCATCTTCGATACATTTTCTGTTCATCCAAATTCTGTAAATCAAATCTCACTGAGGGAGCTCCTTGCACTCGAATAAACAAAAGCTGACAATGGTTTTCCCAGTGATCAATGTCATCGTAAATTTCACTTCGCAGAAAATTTAGCTGTTGGTGAGAAAAATCAAGAGTTTCCTTCATAGCGCTCACAAGACTGGCAAAGTACTCCATGTTATCCACCTTTTTACCCCTCAATAACTTTTCAATTCTTTTCTTTTACCTCTGAACTTACTTTTTATGTGGTTCGGTTCTTCTTTTTTACCCTACTTAACTTCAATCAGATATAAACAAATCAAGGCCACACTTGGAAAAATATCACTTCGAGATCCGATTTCTAAGGGTTATAGTTATTTCTTCTTAAGCACATGCACATAGAACTGTCGAGATTCTTGTGTATGATTACATTCACAGCAACAATTTGGTATTCTCGTTATAAAGCACCCAAAAGATTAGCATTGATAACCGTCTTACAAACGAGAGCTGCAATCTGCCCTATGTAATGTAAGTACTTTTGCGGATAAATCCGAATTATTTCACTTTCCACCCCGAGGCAACTTTCACCAGTGGTATCCTTCGCGCCCTCTGAATTATTGCATTTAAACTTATGCATCAAATAAGTCCCCAAACTCAACTCCTTTAGCATAGGAGTGTATGCTCCGGATTACGTAAAGCGCAGTGTGCCCCATTTTGAGGAACTCAAGGCAGTGCCCAGTGATTATTTTATCATATATTAATATTGCTTTTCATAACTCATGCCTATGTATGCATATCGTAAATTTGAAGTTTGGACAGAACATTGAATAGGTCCAGTTCTAATCTGTATTATTCCTATCAGAAAATCAAAATTGCCTGCCACAAGCCCACAACCATGTTCATAGTTCTGATTTTTTAATAGACTCACCTCCAAAAGCCTCGCCAATGCACTGCAATCCCATACACACACCAAATAATGGCACAGTAGGTCCAACTTCTAATACACTTTGTAATGATATTCCCGAATCTTGAGGTGTACCTGTAACAATAGAAAACCCTAATGTATGAAGGTGTGAAATGATAAGAAGGAAGAAAAAAATAACCACTAACTTTGGTTCTTACCTGGTCCCGGGGATATAAGAACTCCTCTTGGATTTTTCCTAAAATAATTGGCAGCAAAAGTTATGCACATTAATAGACAACTAATAGAAAACATGTGTGAGGAAGAAATAGGTTTGAGAACAAATTCTCTACCACCCAAAAGGCGACAATATAATGGCATCAATCAGCAAAAAAATTTAAACTCAGATTAGAAAATCCTTACCTTTTCAATTCATCCACAGTAAGCTCATCATTCCGGTACACCTCAAAGTTACAACCCAGCTCTCCCATATACTTCAGAATCAAAAGATAGAAGTATCAGCTTTGCATTATAAGGTTGATGTTAGTCTATGAATCACAGAGAACAAGTTGCAAATAAAATGAGTTTCCCATACAACAAATCCATCCTTCAATCTTCAAAATAATACACAAATTTAAATGCTTTTAATTTTTGAGGTGTGAAGCATGAAGATCACTTTCCCTCTAAATTGTGAAAGAGAGACTTTTAATAATAAACCTTCCCGAAGATTTTCCTCTTTCCAGATCTCCCTGCAATCAAAAGAAAACAGCAGGAAGATTCTAATAAAAACCACTTCTCTCTTCCTCTCATTCAACGTAATGCAGTTAAACTACATAAAAGAGCCCCACTTCGAGTAGTAGTCATGAATTGCCACCAGATACCCACCAGTAGTTGCTGACAAGAGATGATATTGCAGTCAAATTTCTATAGTTAAGGCATAAGTACTGAAATAAAGTTTCCCAGAACGACAAACACAAGATGCTGTCATCCAGAAGAAACATGAAATACAAGTCATTAATTTGCCAGTGTTGTTTTTCCCTCAGCATCACATTGATACAAAAGGTCATTAACTTGTTGCAAGCAATTGAGAACTTGGTTTAGGATTCAAATTCCAATTAATTGTTTTACTGGTGATAATCCGAACAAATTAAAGGAACCTGATATGGACAAAGAAAGCTAATAAATGAATCCAAAAGGCATAATCAATCCCTATGTAGTTCCATACCTGTATCGACATACTAGGTTACTACCAATAGGATTACACCACAGAACGTCTAAATTGTATCTAAAATCTTGATGCGGCATAAGTGGAGTAGTCAGTGGAGTAAAGCAGGATTGAAAATATAATCATAAGCCGAACATATGAAAATAAAATAGATGCAATCAACCCTGTTCCAAAACAGATATAAAAGGGGGAGCTGGGTAGCCTTTCAAGAAACAAGTGATGCCATCTGTTTCAAAGTTTACATTTCTAAACACCTTAATTCTGTAAGAATCGAATTCAGCTTCTTCTTACTTAGTGCCTTCAAAAAGGAAAAGGAAACGAGATGTTCAAAAGCCCAAAGGATTTCTCTTCTCTGAACCCACACAGTTTCAAACTAATAATGCATTGCACAAGTCAACTAATTTGTGCAAACATCTGAGTGAAAGCACTGAATCAATAATCAATATAAGTCCTTTCAATGTAGTTGCAATTTCCAACTTGCCAACCATCTAATTCTCTGCACAACTTGCTACCTCTATCACTAAACGTTATTAGGGACATCAATTAGTTAGTAATAAGCAAAATATAGCTCATATAATCCACATACAAGTGGATTATATGTCGTCTAGAATCCTTCTGCAGGTATTTGCTGACTCCCACATCGACCAAACTTAAATGTGGCTTGCCCTTATTGCCAATGGCCATTATACAATGTAGACATAGCAAAACTTTACAGTCTATTAAAGGGGCCAAGATCTAATGCCCACAAGGGTGATCACAAATATTGGATTGTGGCCATGTGTCGTATACTCCAGAAAAAAGGACACTTTATTCCCCTAACAGTACTATTTGTTGAGATTTTCTACGGCACCAAAATTATCGGATCACGGTTGTTACTCAAGTAAATCGGCATGCATTAGGTGGAAAGTTTTAAATTTGAAATGAACAAACATTTATTAGTGATTATAATGTTCTTCAAAAGGAATGAATATAGTATTATGCACTTTGTTGACGTCATACTTATCAACAATTTTACTTTGTAGTCAAACGAAAAATCAAAAATATAATGAGATACATCACAAAAAATTTCTAAAATTTTGCATCTCAATGAATGTAGATGAGTGGATCAGTGAGTCCAATTGAAAAAATTAAATCAAACCATCCACATTCATTTGGAAGCCAAATTTCGCAAACGTTTGGGAAGTGTAGCAAGATTGTTAACTTTATATATTTAAACTGTCTGAACCCATGCAAAGTCATAGAGAACTAAGACATCATTAGCTAAAAGCTTGTTAGAAAAAAAATTTAAGTGAAAAAAACGACTTCTATGCTTTCCGTTTTTCTCTTATAAATTAAAGTAAAAACTGAAAGAAGTTTGATTGTTATTTTTCCAAAGTAAAAAGAGTGTATCTTGTTGCATAAATCATATAATTAATGTGTGGAAATATGCGTTTAAGTTTATATGTGGTCATATCCGGGAATAAATGAATTCTTCAAGAAAAAAGCAAACTCTTTTTTTGGTTTTTTCCTTTTTAAATGACTTCACAGCGGCAAACATTTTCTTTGTGAATTTCCTTTTTCACGTTTCAGAGTAATTTTTAAGCAAGTAAGGTGAAATGTCAAACAGTAACTAATAAAAGAAAATAACATTTCTATTCTACATTCTGAGATTGGCTCTTTTCTCAGGTTCTGATTGATGGAAGACAAAAGTTCCATAATTCAACAAAAAAAACCATTACTTTTTCTGAGTTTTCTCAGCAACCAAACAGAACAGAGATACTGTATTTGGAGAGGGAAGAAGTGGGTCAGACCTGGCAAAGATTGTAAGTGAAGCTGTCGTAATTATCAATAACGATGATTGGATTGGTGGGTTTCTTCGTATCTGAAACAGCCGGTGACAGGGAGGTCTTTTCGGAGACAGCCATGGGCATTCTTGGAACACAGCTGTTATTATTTCGAACACCGTGAAAGGGCTTGTTTGAACGAACAGACGAGACCGTAGAGAGGTCTGGGATCTGCGGAGGAGGCAAGAGCGAGTGTTTTAGCTGCATGAGAGATGACTGGGAAGGAGCTATACTCGCGGCCATGGCTATTGTCAGAGAGAGAAAGAGAGAGAGAATCAGAGAGACAGGGAGAGAGCAGAAACCAGCGGAAGGCCCACTCTAATTTACAGAGTTTGGTTTGGATTCGGGGACATCTACTTAACTTTAAGGATTCGATCCTCCCAGTCCCAACCATAAATTCACCAACTTCACCTCTGACCCAGTGGTAAATGGGCTTTTATAAGGTACGGAAAAAATTATTTTTCAGTATTTTTCAGTATTGTATTTTATTATTTTAGTCGACAAAATCTGTATCCGAAAACACGGTAAAATATAGAGTCCAAAAAATCGATTCTATAATATTAAATTTTTTTAACATGTATATATTATTATATATGAATAATGTTTGAAATAAAAAGTATATTAACTACAAATTAATCAAATATTAAATAATTAAACTTATGATAGAAATAAGTAATGTAATATTTTTAAGACAGAAATATATAAATGATATAACATGTGATATGAGTGATGCGACTTGACGTTTGAGTCTGACAGAGGGATGATAGTGAAGCAAGTGGGGTATGGCTCGTCTGCGGTTGGGAGCTTACCGCATGTTATGCGGTTTAATGAAACGGCTGCGTTTCAGGATTTTTTCTTTTTTTTTTTTTACTCTTCCTTATCATAAACGACGTCGTTTTTAGCTCAGGTAAAAACTAGATCTGAAATCCTCCTTCTTCGTTAGAAGAGAGTTCAGTCATTAAAGAGAGTTCAGTCCTTCTTCGTTAGACTTCAACAACAAAACCTTGCGAGGTGCAACCAGCAGATCTGAGCGACTTCAGGCAACTCCGACGACCTCAGGCAACTCCGACTACAGGCAAGGTATGTTCCTTCGTTGTCTCTGTGTTAAGAATTGCCATTTAGATGGGTCAAATTTAAATTCAAATTGTTCATTCGATCGCTCTCTCAATTCATATTTCCCGTTAAATTGGCTCCTCTGTCTTTTTTTTTTTTCGACAGAACCTCCCCACCCTCCACCTATTTTAGAACATGCCAGAAAGAACTCTCTTTCAGATTTTTGTGGACTGAACTCACAGATTTTGTTAATTGAAACCTTTTCATTTTGCTTGAGTGTCTTGTATAATGTATTGTTTAGCAAAATTTTGAAACACTTGAGTAACTATTACCATGCATACAATTAACTCAAATTCGGACACATTATTTTTAAGAATCCTCCCCGTGATGTTGTAACAAAGGTAATTTCCACTAAAGATCTTCCTGAGATTTTCCTTCCAAGAAAAATGCAGGTGCCTTATGCTTGCCGTCATTTTGAAAGTGTGCTACTTGCATGACCACAAAATAGGCAGCCTGTTTTTAGTTATGACTATGTTTTGGTTGGATTTATATTTTTCTATAATTTTTGTTTCCTTCCTGTTGATTTTATTTATAAGAAATTTTATTTCTCTTTTGATTTGATGTTGTCTGGCCATTGTAGCTGCAAGATGCTCTTTACATTTATATTTTCAAAACAAAAAAATTCAAGGGTATCACTGACAGTTCCTTTTGGTTTGGTTTTCTTGCCTTGCCCAGCCTGTCTTTGTAACTGTTAATTGTTGCTGTTGAAGGAATTAGACTGATACAAGGTAGTTATCATTGGGAATATGCATCCATCATTCTCACCTTTTTTGATATCATCTTCCAACATATATGTAATCCACCAGATAATACACGGATACCTGAACCAAAAAAGGAAGTCTTGGGCACCATTTTTTAAGGATACAGTATTTGGGGTCCTTAGCAGAGATTCATTTGGCGAACCTACATTTACATCTTTGACATGATCATATGCTAGCAGATAGCATCTTACTATGTAGTGCTTAGTTTGATCTAAATGCTTTATGTGTTACATTCTTGCACTCAAATGTTAAGGTAATATTTGGTGATTTGTTTCATTTTATTATTTTGATGTTGTATGCATATGGGACTGGATTATATTTTCATCACCTATGGAGATATATGGAACTGGATGCATAGAAATGAGGGTTTTTTTTTTGGGTTTTTGGGCTTGTGATTTGATGATGGTGATTATTGAATACAGGTATTGGAGTTGGCTGGGAATGCAGCAAGGGATAACAAGAAGAATCGCATAGTGCCAAGGCACATTCAGCTTGCAGTGAGGGATGATGAGGAGCTTAGCAGGCTTTTGTGTGGATTCTATTTTCCAAATTAGTTGCCTTAGGAAATTTGTACTTTGTCTAGGTGAGAAAATGCTATTGTTTAGTGCCAGAGTTTGATTGTTATAGTAATTAACATTGGAATTTTGATATGTATGGTTAATTTGGAAATTCAGAAATTGCAGCAGCCCTTTAATTCATTCAGCACAAACAATATATTCTTTTCTTTTTTTTAGAAAAAGAAATTTTATTCCATGAAACAATGAATTACAAGAAGCAAATGAATTCAAAAATTCTAATTACAAAGAGTTGGCTTTAATCCTTTAAAAGGATTAAAACCAGAAATTTATCAAGCACAGTCCAGCTGCCCCAGCCAACAAAACAGCCCATGGCCTAACACACCATAGACTGCCTGCAGACAGAACCCAAAACCTGGACCTGTTATTCCTCCAGCTGCTGAGTGAGCTTCTCTTTACTGTGCTCTATACCCCCATAGCTTAGCACCTGCTCCATTGCTCACAGCTCAGCTCTCAGCAGCAACATCACAGTCTTAGATGACATACTCATTAGGCATATCATATAACAAAAATGTCTAAGTGTCAAGGCAAAATTATCAAGCTTGGAGGGCACAATAGCTTATTTTGATTCTATTTGCATTTGTTCACTTCTTGTTGGGTATCTTCTCTATGCTCTTTTATGTGTGTTTAAGGGGGATATTTCACGGCTCATAGAGATGCAGCAAAACTTAGAACTGAAAGATACCAAAGTACAAGCCTGAATGAGCAGCAAAGCTAAATCCTTCATAAGTGCAATCTTACTTTTATTTTTATGAGGTTGCAGCAAACAGAAAAGGACAACAGCAAAATATTCATTATGAATTGCCATCACAACTCATATTCATTTCGACTAAAAAAAATTCGATTCATAGTATTGAATTCAATTTTTGATTCACAGAAGCAAAATATTCTATTGAATTTAATTTTTATTCACCGCAGCAAAAATCGAAGACAAATTTTGATTCACAGCAGAACACGAAAGAGAGTTCAATCCACATCTCTATTTGAAATTGAAGCCAAATTTCAATGTACCAAATTTGAGAGTTCAGCCCATTCAATAGAACAACAACCTGAAAGAGAGTTTAGCCAAATTTCAATTAAAAAAATCTGAGAGTTCAATCCACAAAAATTTGAAAGAGAGTTCTTTTCGGCATTTTCTCAAACAGGTGGAGGGTGGGAAGGAAGAGTCTACGACTTGTGTCGTCATTTTCATCAGGAACAGAAATATAAAAGGAATAGACAGAAATGCATGTAAGCATGCTAGAATTGGATTACAGAGATCTAAGGGAAAAGGGAAGTAGTTGATCCTATAGATTCTGAAAAAACCACAAATCCTTATTATGTAGATAATCAATGAAGTCACTATAGAGAGACCTGGAAACTCCCTCGACGAGACTGTGGATTGGAGGAGGAGGGGGGATGTGATCTTCTCAGTGCATTGACGGGTTTCGTAGTAGCCAAGGGAAGGAAGAAGATCAGTAATTGGAGAGAGATATAGAGAGAGGAGGACAGAAAGCATGCGTAGGAAGGGGTCTGAAGGTGATTTATTGGGCAAAAAACGATGTCGTTTTTGGTGAGGAAGAATAAAAAAAAAATACAAAAAATACCTAAAACGCCACCGTTCAATTTAACTGCATATCATGCGGTAAATGGGTTACCGCAGAGGATCTTTACCCGAAGCAAGTGATTGATGATAATTTTAAAAAGAAAAATATGATTGAGATAAAATTTAAAAACTAATTTATTATATAGATGATTAACAAAAACTATAAAATTAAGATAAATTTTACAATTGATTAGAAATTTATGTACGTTACCACTTTAACACCCTAGTTATATTCAACCATAAATATCTATGGTTCTTCTGACGATTCACTTATCCAATAACACATTTTTTGATATATATTGCTAATTGTTATTATAAGAACTAATTGATTAAATAATTTTAAAAAATTCATAGTATTAAGGGCATCTTCAACCTTGACTTAAATTTAAATTTGAGTAAAAAAATCTAAAAAACTTGTTCTTTTAGGACATCTTTAACTCTTACTCAAATTTAGACTCAAATTTAAATTTAAGTATAAAAGTCTAAAAAACTTGTTTCAACCCTTGACTCAAATGTATACCAAATAAAAAAAAACTCATTTCTTTACTCAAATTAATGACGATTCAAATCTTTGCTCAAATATTTAATGGTGAGATTTCACAATATTTTAAAGATCTAATGGTCATATTTACTCTTTTTTAAATTTGAGGTTGCCCTCATTTAAATTTGGGTCTCTCCTTTAAATTTGAATTTGTCTATTAGAGTTATTTATATCAAATCAAGTTTGTTACCCAAATGTTAATTTAAATTTGAGTCATAATCGGAGATACTTTTACTTAAATTTATACCAAATCAAGGGAGATTCTTTTTTTTTTACTTAAATTAAGGAAGACTCGAATTTTTACTCAAATCTTTAATTGTGAGATTTCACCATCTTTTAAAGATTCAATGATCATATTTACTTTTATTTAATTTTGGATTTGTCCTTATTTAAATTTAAATTTGTTCATTTGAGTCTTTTGTATCAAATCAAAATTTTTAAATATTATCTTAAATTTAAATAAAAATTTGAGTCATAATTAGAGATACTCTAACAAATGAGGAGGAGATACTTAGAAAATGGGTATATTAAACCTCACAAAGAACAAATAAATAGTTATTTTAGTATTAGTTGACAGAATTTGGATAAGTATGGAATCAAAGGATAGCCAGATCAAAGGTTCGTGCATGCATACATTTTATTCATGTGTTTTGCTCTCGATTTTTTCGGGAGAGTGTGGAGACACGAAGTGATATATTGAAAAAAAACAATTTTTTCTTTGTACTTAAATTTTTCCCTACGGTAGGCCATGAATTAGATTTTATTAAAAGCCAGTGCATTGGGATATGTAAAAAAAAGCAAATAAAATTAGAATATATTGTGTTTATTATAGTTTGACCTCCTATTTAATTTTTTTAGTTTTATTTCAATAAATAGTATAATTGTATACTAATTATGATTTTTTAAGAAAAAAATATATTTTAATTTTATTTTAATAAATAAGATAATACAACATGAATTTTTGTTGTAAAATTCATGTTCTTTTATGAATGACATAGAACTCTTGTTTGATTTTTTAATTTTATTCAAATAAATTGTATAATTATATGTTAATTACGATTTTTTAAGAAATCTTTTTTTTTATTTTTTTTATTTCAATAAATAATACAATAGAACATAAATTTTAGTTATAAAATTTAAGATATTTGAGATTATTTTTGATTTAAGTATAATATTTAAAACTTAAGAGATCAAAATATTATACACTTAAAAATTTTAATAAATCTGAGTGTAATTTACTAACGGATATACTAACTAAATTTGACGGAAGGGGGTAGGCCTGTTAGTCGAACGAGGCGAGCTTGAAAAACTTATTTCTTAATCGAGTTTAAAAAATTGTTAAAGTTTGACTCATTTAGGAAACGAGCCGAGCCTGAATGAGCCAAAAACAAGTCAAGCCCGAGCTGAGCCAAAGTATTTGTACATAAATGAATCAAGTTTGTCGAGTTTTAGCCAAATTTGTAGGGCTTGTTTTTTAAACAAGTCTAAAAATTTGTTCAAGTTTTGACTCGTTTAAAAAACAAATGGAGTTTAAACGAGTCAAATCTGAGCTTAACTCAGGTCAAGCTCGAGTAACTCAGTTTGATTAACAACTCTAGGTAGGGGCCTAAATGTTACATGAGTACAAACTTCATGAAGTATGTGTATAATATTTCAAATGTCAGATGTCTAAGTGATTTAATGACAGACCTCAGGAGATCTGAATATAATTTTTTTTTTTTATGTACATCATTATATAGCCTATTGCTATCCCCCTTAGCTTTTGGCTCAGCATTGATATGGGGTGTCTCGCCCTATGGCGTTCATGCCTTAACTAAATTGAGTTTTGCTTGATGAAACAAACCCTAGTGAAAAAAATGGATTCTTAAGGACTTGAATTTGTGTTTTGTTGGGTTACAAAATAGTTTGACAAAGGCTAAAGTAACATGCAACAACTATGCCCAAGATCAGGTTATTATGATTCCTTGGCTCAGAGTATGTCTGTTGCTGTCAGTGGGGGTTTGTTCATTATTACAAGGGGTGTCAGACCAACTTTCTTAAGGACCCCTTATGCCTCTAAGCCTTGTCACACAAAAGCAAGGAACGGCCCCAACAAATGTTTGTCATGGCGAATGCAAGACATTCTAAACTTTGAAACTTGAGATAGGGGTCGATGATCAGTGAGACCCGTTGTTGGTGGAAGCCCTATGCATGGCTGAGGAAGGTAACACACGCATGAGTACATTGGACATGATCAGTAGATTGATTGAAACCTAATGTATGACTTACAAAGGCAACTCATGCATGGGCACAATCAGAGGATTGATTAAAATCTCATCCATGATTGAAAAAAGTAGCTCATATATGGGCACGCTAAGCACAAGCATGCAAGCAAGCAAGGCTAACTGGTGGCTCAAGTTGTGGAATAATGTTAGTTTGGAAGACCAAGTCATAGGTTGGGTATGACTAAGCACAAAGGCAAGGCAAATCAGTGTTATAAGCTCGCAAGGAAGGCATGTATACAACATGTGAGGCGATTCTAAATAGTTAAGGCATGTGCATTGTAGATGATAGCGATTCTAGACGGTTACAGACGTGTATATGACATTCAGGGTAATTTTGTGCAGTTGTTGGCATGTGCACAACATGAGGAAAATGTTGGCATGTGCACACATCATGCACAACAGTTGTGTCTAGTTGTTGGTTGGGTTAGTTAATAGTTTCAACTGCCCCTTGCCATGATTAGCATATGTGGAAGTGGCAAAAGGACTTAGCCATGGTCAATAGGCTATGGGTAGCTTTGTGGGCGAACTTGAATGTTGTTTTGCATTACCTAGGCAATTGGGCTTGTAACCATACTTTTGTATGCTATAAATAGGCATCTTACTGTTTACAATGCAACAAAGAGACAATTGAGCATGTTTTGTAAGCAGACCCATAGTTAGGTTTCATTTAAGCTTGCTGGGAAGAAAAAAGTTCGGCTATTTGGCTTGTAATTCTTGTGTGCCTGTTGCAAGTTTATTTGCTTGCCTACATTCTATTTATTGTGTAAATTCTTGTGAGGGATTGTGTACATTGACTGAAACTGAGTGTTGAATCTCACTGATATCACGAGACAAAAAATTCGAGTGAGATATGACCTTGTGACACGTACCTATATAGGATTTTTATCAACACGTTAAGATCAATTTCAAGTCTCTTGACTACATGAAGATTAGGTCTTTTTTTTTTTTTTGCAATTAAATTTATTGTATTTTGACATTATTCAATAATTTCTTGCTTAAAGATCTCGATGGTAATGGATATAATTTGGGAGAATTATATTTTTGTATCTCAAAAAATTTTAAAAATTTAATTTTATGCTCTCAATATATTAGAAGTATTACAATGTAGTCAATTTGTTAATTTTATTTGTTCATCTTGTCAACATCAATGTAATGATTTTTGCTGGAATTCATAAGTTAATGAAAAATGGTACAATATAAGAAAATCAGTAACGCTATGCTGACTAAATTTTGGGATCAAATTTAGAACCCAAATAATATAGTAGCATGTCATTTAGAGTCTTTATTGAAGCCCAAATGACATAATACTAAATAAAAAAACTCAAATTAGTTGGAGTCTTTATTGAGGCCTAAATGACATGACACTAAATAAAAAAATTTAAATCAGCTGCCACGTCATTTGTGCTCTAAATTTGATTAGTCTAGCATTACTATATAAAAATTAATGTTCAAGGTGTAAAGTAAAAAATCTTAAATATTTTAGAATATAAAACAAGATTTCCCCTTATAATTTTGCCTAGGAACATAAATGTAAAACCACTTCACATTGTATAGGAAGCAAGTTAGCCAATTAGTCCAACAATCACATTAGGAAAAAATAAAGAGAAATATTATCTAATTCAAATTTTTAACCCAAATTATATTTCAAATGAAAGGGACCATTACATGAGTGGGTGTCTCATCAATTTTTTTAATTGGGATCCACTGATCTAATGATCTCCTTCATTTAGAATACAAATTTGAGTTGCAGATTTGAATTTCATAACATTGTTTAAAAATAAAAAAAAAATAAAAATAAAAATAGCCCTACTAACCCAGAATATTCCCCTGGTTCCATCCCCACACCGCTCAATGTTGGACCTCTTTCCCTTCCTTCATACAGAGAAGAGTTAGAGAGAGAGAGAGAGAGAGAGAGAGAGAGAGAGAGAGCGAGCCACCATTTAAGACCATATACGCGTACTCAACAAGCCAGAGTCCTTTATTCACATACAAACCCCCAGATCTTCAAGCACTGTTGAATTCCTTGTCTCTACGTCCCTCTCACACCTCCTTCAGATCTGAATTACCCAGTTCTAATTTCTCTGTGTTCCCTGTACACGTTGCAAATTATTTCTCAAATCCATCAATTTCACACACTTTCAACCCACAGTTCCACTGATCTATCCCACTCTGTCAGGCCCACTTTCGTAATCAAGCCTACACTCGGTGTTCTTTACAATCTGATCTACTTACCCAGATCTAGAATGAGCTAATATACAAATACCCACTTTATATATAATCTCATATATACACAGATAAAAAGTACATATATATGGCAATGCCATCAGGAAATGCGGTTATTTATGATAAAATGCTGGGCGGCAGTGGTGGTGCTGGTGGCGGTGGAGAAATGATGCACCACCAGAGGCCGTGGCTGATAGATGAGAGAGATGGATTTATAGCATGGTTGCGCGGGGAATTTGCAGCATCCAATGCCATAATTGATGCTTTATGTAACCACTTGAGAGTGACCGGGGAGCCGGGTGAGTATGATGGAGTTGTAGGTTGTATACAGCAGAGGAGGTGTAATTGGAACCCTGTGTTACATATGCAGCAGTACTTTTCGGTGACGGAGGTCTTGTATGCTTTGCAGCAGGTGAGCTGGAGGAGGCAACAGAGATATTTTGAGCCGGCTAAGGTGCAGGGGAAGGAGTTTAGAAGGAGCGGTGGAGGTGGGTATAACAGACAGGGGCATCAGAGAGTTGAGGTTGTGAAGGAAGGGTATGCAAATGCAATTGCAAATGATTCAGGAAATTTGGTGGGTTTGGATAAAGAAGAGAGAGTGAGAGAGAAAGATGAAGAAGCTGCGAAAGTGGAGGATAAGGGCGTGGCACTTGAGGAGGAGAAGCAAGGTAATTATTAATAAGCTTAGTTTTTTCTGAAGTCATAGTTCCTATCAATAACTGGAATTTGTTAGTTAAGGAAATTTTGATTGTTGTACCTTTTTTATATAGGGATTGACTAATTTGGATTTGTAATGCATGTTTGTATGTGCTGAATAGGTCTGTTTTCTGTGTTGGTATGTTAGGGGAAGTGGGGAAATGCTGTTTTGGTGGGAAGGCGTTTAGGAGGCCTGGTGGATTGCGGTAATAAGAAGGGATAATGGATAGTTGAGGATTTGAAGGAATTGATGTCTTACATGAGTCACATTAAGTGGTTGATAGGCTTTATGGCATTATAAAGCATCTTGCCTGGCAGAAAAGCTACATATGGGACAAGAGCCACATTGTGTAAATATGATTGAAAATGCTTTGGGAATTTGTTGGGTTCTAAGACGGGAGGGAGGGGAGGGGGGGACGTGAGTCTAAAAGGAGAAGGGAAAGTGGGTGTTGGAGTTGGGGATTATAAGGGTGTGGGAGTTGGGAAGAGAAGATAGGTTACTACTGAATGTGCCAATGTGGGTTTAGTTTATGTTAGCTGAATTGATTATTACTTGTAGTTTTATGCTTTGGCAATTGGACTTCATAAATGAAGGTTATTTATGGTATGATGAAATTCTAATTTTTCCACTGTTTTCATTTATGACTGGATTGATTATTTCATATTTGGGAAGCATGTTTAATGTGTGCCCTTTTTATATGTTCTCTTTATGTTGGAATAATAGGAAGGCTAGGATACAGTTTTGCATGATTTGTATAACATTATTTGAGTTCTAGACAACGTTTAGAGTTGCATGTCTTATCAAATTGTCTGCTTGTGTACACTTGCAACCTCTGTGCAATGGCACAAATTCTAGGTATATTTTTCGTGCTTTTGTTGGCTGTTTGCTTGCTGAGCAATCACTCAAAGTTGTGCGATTCTTGGATAATTAGGCTTTTGACATTTTAAAAGATGCTTACTTTGACACGGGTATGCCAAGAATATGGCTAGTAAAACAAAGTTCGAAAATATAGGATACGAGTATGTCAAAAATATGACTAGTAAAATAATATAATATATTTTTTAGATAATAATAGAGTTTTACTATATTAAAATACAGCATATATTATATAATATTAATAATAAGGTCTAACAAATATTAATTTTGTGATTACATTGAAATAGATTAAAATAAATATCCACCATTTTCATCAAATATCATTACATCCATTAACATTTATAATATATAAGTTACATAACAAAAAGTACATTAAAAATAATAAAAATCATATCCCATTTAATAATTAATGGTTATTTTTTTTAGAAAGTAAAAATAAAAAAAAAATTACTGGTCGTGTGCTGGCCGTATTGTGGTCGTGTCTTGAACGTATCCTAGCTATGTCCTAGTTGTGTCCGACTGAGTTTACTATTCAGGACACTTCTAGCCATATTTGTCATGCCTCAAATCCGATCTCCTTGAATTCAGTGCGTGAACTCAATTACCATCAATATCAATTCATACAGAGCACTAAAATTCTCAATCAATAAAAAATAAAAAAACTCAGTTTTTAAAAATCATTACAATAACTCAAACCACTTTTAAAATTATGAAAATTTCACCAATGAATCAATAGTTCCAAGTCTCTAATTCCTCAATTGACTCGATCATCTTTTGATTTTTCATAAATTTTCAACTTGTATCTGAGAGGGGTAAATGGAGGGTGAGCATGGGAGGCATAGTAAACAATTTACAATATAACATACGAAATCACAAGGTTACATGATAATTCAACAATCAATCGCAGAATCAACAAATAAAATGGGCATTTAACACAAATCCCATCATAAAATTCATATGAAACCTAATTATCCAAATTTTCAAATCATTCATGGTTGCATACTGGGTTCGTCTCGGCTATATACTAGGCGTTACTCGGTACATCCCATTCTATTACACGCCCCTCGAGGCTACAATCACATCTCAATAACAAAACCATGCCACCGAGTGCGCTTGACGCATGTGCCAATAGATGTTAAGCTCTTGACCAACAAAAATATTTTTCACACAAAAATATGAAACCCAAAAACGAAAATCTGAATGAACCTCACAAATCAACGGTTAAACAATGGATGATAACAATAAAATGACTCTTTGCAAAGAGATTAAGACATGGATGCATATTATGAGATAAACCACTTACAATTCGAAGGTTGATACTGTATATAGAGTTCTCGATATGCTGGACAGTATTCTAGAATTTCTTTGTTATCCGATATAGTTCAACCATCTATTTTCATGCCCAGGCAATTTCCCTTGTTTCTTTTCTTTTATTCCCTTACTGGTTGCGTCTTTTTACTGGTGTACTCCTTGTTTTTGTATCAAACACTCTCTCTCTCTCTCTCACACACACACACACACACACAGCCGCCTCTATATACTATTCTCATTACAAGAGATCCATTAAACAAAGTATATATACATGCAAGGACACCGGGCACACGGTTAGGCTTAGATTAATTACACTTTGCTCTCCACTAGGTTGGTTTGTTATTTTGTTTCTAATTAATACCCTTAAGCTTGCAATTAAGTTTTATGTATAAATATAACACTCTCCCAGTCTTGCTTGTCCACTAAGCTACTACCACACTTCCTTTGTTAACCCACAATTATTTGGTTTGGGTTATCACTGTAGCCGACACGTGTTTGGCTGTGTCCTTACGTGTGTTCCTGTAGGACACGTGTTCGACACTGGCACAGTACCCTTCCGGAAAGTATTTGTGCTTCCTAGCCAAAGAGTTGCACGGATGTCGAAGTTCCTTCAATTACTGCTCGCTTCTCCTCTCTCTCTTGCCTGATTGGTTGATTGGTCTAATAAAAATACTCTCTTAGTCAAACATGCTCCCGTTTGAGTTTTTTAATTCCAAACATAGTTTTAAGTTGTGACCTTGATTTCTGATATATGTATTATTTTCTAAGACAATGGTCCTAATTTTAGTACAATAATATCCAAAACATATTAAAATGCATCCGAAGCTTGTTCGAAAGTTAATATGTCTATACTAATTTAAATGAGGAAAAGAGTATACGATGGGCAAAATTAAATATGTTCGAAAAATATTTGACATAAATATAGCTAGCGTAAGAGAAAAAAAATTTAGGGTGGGCATGTGCCTAACCTGTTCTTTAATTGCTGTGCCATTATATCCATCCATGGGAATATGATACCATCTGAAATTTTATACAGGAATATGCCTTCTTTAGGATTTCATAGCCATGTAGAATACCAAGACCTATGTCCTCTGCGCCTTAGATATGAGCCTAAATTTGGGAAGCTGTATATTCTGCCATATAATATTTTTCTAGTCGGAAAAAGCAAATAGTGACTCCCCTTCTGATATAATTTTAACTTTGCCTTCTAATTTTGCCTTTGATGCTATTATATTTGATCTATCATAAAAAGACTCAAAATTCCATACTGAAGTTTCTAGCAATTTAATATTTCCTTGCATTAGGGGTATTTTACAAACAAAATTAATTATTTGTATTTGGTGCTGGAGCAGATGAGGTTTCAAAAATTCAAGCAGATAGCTGCATCAATGTTTCAGGAAATATACAAATATTTATTTCCGGAGATTCGGAATGTGAGGCAAGGCATGTGGATGATGTATGCGCCTCTACCTCAGAAGGTATTTCATTGCTCTGCCTTTGTTTTTGTTCTTTGTTTCTATATTTCTTTTTGGTTTTCTGTTTCTATTTTGATTGAGGGACTGGGTCTTGGATGTGAGCTGTTATTTGACAGTTTTCTTGACTAAAAGGGTGGTTATACCTTTTAGACTGCTTGTTAAAGTCATTGTTATCTACCATCTACCAATTTAACAATTGAATGTACTATCTCTCTCTGAGCTGCTGTTGGTAATGACAGTATGACTTGCGAGGTTGCTAATTTTTTTCCTCTTTCTAAGGTACTAGCAACATGTATCTGGAGAACGGCCAGTCCATACAAATTCCACATGAGAAACATAATCTCACCAATACTCTGAAAACTTTTGTTGGGACTGAGATATTTGATGGAAAAACGGTAATATTCATTTGCTCTTATAGGGTGGAATTTAAGTTGAAACATTGCCACTAGTCTTAGGCCTTTGTTTTAATTTTTCTTCATCTAAGATGCCCCAGTTTGCTCTATAGGTTAATGTAGTGGATGGGATGAAATTGTATGAAGAAATGTTAAATGACTCAGAAGTGTCAAAACTTGTTGCATTGGTAAATGATTTGAGAGCTGCAGGGAGAGGAGGGCAATTACAAGGCAAGTTTACCAGTGCAATCTCTTTATTTGGATAACATGACATGCATTCTTTTCTTTTTCTTTGAGTTTATATATGGAACTATGTAAAACATATTTTGGAACGATCTATTTGCTTGGAAACTTGCATTTCCCTTTCATGCCATCATAACTGCAAAACTTCAACTGGAAACATATCTAATCTCTGAATGTTTCAGTTTTTGTGATGGATGGCATTCTATGTGTGTATGTTTTCCTAAACATGAATTCTCATTTATTTGTAGTCTTGTATATGATCTATAGGGCATGGGACTACAAGACAAGGATTTCTGTGTGTTATTCCATGTTGTTTTGCAATGTGTGCTTGCACTGCTATCTAGTTGCTACATATCAGATGCCAGATCTTTTCGGTGCTTGTTGTAGCTGTCCTATTTTCTGTGGACGGTTTCCATGTTATGACTTGATTCTCATTCCATATAATTCATGATTCCTGAGTTTCCCACTATGCAAGCTGAACCTGGTGGCTTGCGTGTGGTTTGATGTGCATATCTTTCCCAAAAATACTGCTCCTCATTCCACATAATTCATGATTCCTGAGTTTATCACAATGCAAACTGAACCTAGTAGCTTGCATGTGGTTCGATGTGCGTATCCTTCCCAAAAATATTGCTCTATGATCAGAGGGATCATTTCTTCTTTAATTATTAAATAAGGGTTTGGTTGAAGTACACCTGGGTAGCACCTTTATTCTTGTTTTCTCAGATTGTCTTTTTGTGCAAATAGATTGGGTAAAGAATAGGCGTTATTGTTCTGGAAGAGCTTGCAATGTGTTGAAATTTTCTTCGGGAATGAGTGATCAAATGTGGTCAAATGTTTGTTAAGTGGACAAATGATGGTCATGAAACAATCAAAAACACAATGGAGAGTCGAGAAATACTCTAATTGTATATCAAGTTTAGTTAATGAGCTTAAAGAAGCTTTTGGGTGCAAATGAATTAGTTTGTTGTTGCCAATTAGTTGGTGATGCAAGATTGGAAAGTGGAGGAGAGATATTGAACTCTTGCAATGATTAGGAAGAAACATACAAGTTCTCTATGGAGAAATACTTTGTCAATACGATTCTCTTTAATGAAGTAGCGGGGATTACATCGGTATTTATATGCTAGGTCTCCTACCAAAACAAAAACTATTTTTTTACTAACATTCTAAAATAGTTTTCAAATGAAACTCTCAAATTACTCTCTTACTTGAACTCTTTAATAATTTCTTAATAAACTTTTACTACTCAAAATTACTTAAACAGTCCTAGTAAAACAAATATTCTCTAATTAATATAATAACTTAAAAAATAAATAATAAAGTCCAATTCTACAACTCAAGTTTATCCAATTCCTTTTCTATCTCCATCAATTTTGCTTGGCTGAACAAAATGTTTCTCCAAAGAGTGATAATAGTAAGAGTACTCAAGAGAATCGATGTTAGTTGGCAAAGTACATAATCTATGTTGATTGCGTTGTAACAAGATCTTTCTTCAATGAGATAATACTAGGTATTACAATTGGAGGAATCTAAATCTTCACTCTCTATGACCTTCTCATTTTGTCCAAGAAAGCATAAGCATTTATGGTGAAAAAGTAGAAACTCCATTTGAAGAAAACACTTTTGAAACTTGCGTAACTTCATCCGTAGGGACATCCTTTGAAATCGGCTATTCAAAAACAATTGACGTAAGCTGTGAACTTTTGGGCTCATCAATATTACACAATTTTTTATCATCATTCAATTGGGTTGGACTGGAGGAACTTATGGTGCATAGACTAGGTCAACCATTTGTTGATAACTAATGGATGAAGAGCATAAATTGATATCTACCTGGGCAACTGAACTTTCAAGGATGGCAACTAAATTGGTTACACTTTCTTTTATTGAATCTAGTGATGGTTAGAGTGAATTCGCAAATGCTCGGAGTGAATCCACTGATGTTTGGAGTAAATCTATCCTTGCATCACATGCCTCAATCTTGGCTACTAACTCAACGTTGGTCAACATCTTGATGGAAGTAGTCTTTTTAAAATTTTTGAAAATATAGGGTAAATTGTAATTTCAAAAACTTTAGGGGTTAAATATGCATTTTCAGAAATTTCAGGAGTCAAATCTATAATTTCAAAAAGTCTGCATCTATTCTATAATTTTTGAAAGGTTTTGGGGTGTTTCAGTAATTCAGAAGTGTTGGGGGTGGATCTGGAATTTCTGAAATTTTGGGCTGGTGTTAGGTTGGTATAGAATAGGCTTGGGCGTCTATTATTGGCCACTGTTTTCTCCTTTTGGATTGGAGAAGGCTTTTTCTTTGGGTTGGGCCAAGGTTGATGAATATGGATGATAGACTAGCTCAAGCAAGACTTGGGTCAAATTCTTTAATTTTAAAGAAACTGGGCAGGCTGTTAAATAAGGAATCTGGGTCTCAAAATTGGCTAGGTCTCTGGACTGGATTCTGGAGCTGGGTTACTAGCTTTGGGTTGAAATATTAAAGAAACAGGTCGGGTGAAGGTGATAACCCAATACATTGAATATGGACATCTCCTCCATGATGACTTCTATGGTTTGAAAAGATCGAACTATACCTTTCTTAAAATATGCGGCAGCAAATAACAATCAAGCAAGGCACAAGTTTAAGGAAGCTTTTAACTGCAAGGATTACATCAATAGTGGTGATAAATCAGGTTCGAAATTTCTGAACCCTAGTTATTCAAATTTGATTTGCAGGAAGAGAAGATGATGGTGACTGTCAAAGATGGAGAAGTTGCCGGCAAGAGCAGAGTCGACAACAAGTAGCAAGATTAACTATGGATCAAAGTTGACTCTGATACCAATTGATGTAGGACGGGAAAGAGAAGGACAAGATAGTATAAGATATACTAAACCTTCGCAAGGATTAGGTCAAGAAACACACAAGTTCTTCACATAGAAACACGTTTATTAATATCACTTTCATTAATGAAAGAGTAGGGATTATAACAATATTTATTTATAGGCCAAGTCTTGTACCAAAATAAAAATTACTTTAGTAAAATTCATAACTAGTTTTCTAATCAAACTTTCAAATTACTCTCTTGTTTAAACTCTATAATAATTTCCTAATTAGACTCTCACTACTCAAAATCACTAAAATAGTCCTAGTCAAATGTATATTCTCTAATTAATATGAAAATACTAAAATAAGTAATAATATCTAATTATTCAATTCAAGCTTATCGAATTCCTTATCGATTCCCATTAGTTTGTCACCCCAGTGTTTGATGAGAATCCAATTGGTGCTTCTAGTTGTTATATATAATGTTACATCTATGGACATAGGTATAATCGGTTAATGAAAATTCCATATTTTCTATTGTTTGCCAAGCTCTATTATGTATAAATGGAAAACGGTGATAAGTTGATACATGGTGTCTGTGATCTAGTTGACAAGTCCAAGAATCGTCTTTATCCCGATTCTCGCATCCTTTCGAACTAGTGACGACGACATAATTATTGGATGTGCAATCACCCACAATTCATGTGTATCAGGTCAACTAGGGCATCCCTTGCAAGACTTAAACTTGGGATGTCAAGATATTAACAAATAAAGTCTTGTCATTCTAGCTACCTTAGTTGGATGTCCATACCTTGACATCTATACCTTGAATTGTTTTCAGATCTCACCAATTTGTGATTTCTATGGTTTGTCTAGGTTAACATTGGAGTTTGCCGATTGTACACATCTTAAGCCTCAAGGAGACGGATGCTTAAGATTATGGTACTAAGATTAGCAATATTGGTTAACTAAGCATGCTTTTATCTCTTTGAAGCCTGAAGCACATATATAGCTAAAAGTGCTAAAAGATGGATCTATGCGATGTCATTACGTCTATACCTACAACATTTGTGACAAGCTGGGATATTTTTGTTCCTTTTTTTTTTTTTTTTTGGGGTAAAATGAGGTTGATATTTGTAAGTGTGAATTGATGCATATTGCTGTTTAAAATGTTTGTATTGTCACAGATTTCTTGGACAACATACCATTGTAGCAAACCGACACTTGGAAAGCCCAAAAAAGAAAAAGAAAAAGAAAACTTGATCTCTGTTTTAGTTGACAGAAGCAGGGGAATGACATTAATTGCACTCTGTTGTTGTATTTTGGCATATGGAACTACTCTGGAACTCTTTCTTAGCTTGTGAGAAAACTTAATTCCTATTTTTGGGAGTCGGTTATACATAAGATTGAAAATAGGCTTGATGGATGGAAAAAAGCCTTTCTGTTTGGGGGTGTTGATGTACCCTTAATTCACAACGTACTTGAGAGTATTACTATTATTACATGCTCCTCTTTAAATTGCCTTTGAAAGTTTGAAAATGATCATAATTATTGAAAAAATGGTGCGAGACTTTTTATGACATCTTAGTGGTGAAAGTAAGAATGATTATTCGAGAAGTTGGAAATTGGTGTCTCAATAGAAACAAGGGTGGTCTTACTTTGGGTAACCTAAAAGTTAGAAATATTTCTTAACTTGGCAAATGTTTATGGAGATTCCTCAGAGCCTAATTTTGGCATTCGGTGGTTAAAAGCAAATAGGGGGTTCATGGTGATGGCTGGGATCCTAATGCGAGTGAGAGGGAATGTTCTTATTATCCTTGAAAATTCATTTGTCAAGGTCTTTCTCATTTTTTCCGATTATGTGCAATTAATCTTGGGGAATGGTGAAGGTTTAAGTCTTGGGAGGATGTTTGGAGGGAGGGGGTGATTCATCTTCTGCTTCTATGTTTCTGTGCTTATATCATTTGTCTAGATCCCATATTGTTTTATGAGTAAAAAGAAAGATCTCATATTGTTTCTATTCTCTAGTTTGTTTAAATTTTCACTTTTTAGGAATATAAAAAGTAGAGAAATTGTTGAGTTGTCTTCTTTTTTGGGCTTTCTTGATAATCTTGTTTTGAATCAATCTTCTTCGGATAACATATGGATTTTATCATCATCCGATGAGTTTTCTTGTGAATTTTTCTATGAGTTATTGGTAGATAATAAGCCTTTTCTTCCAAAATTTGAGTCTCAAACACTAATGAATTGCTCCAAAAAAGAAGAGCATCATGTTTTCTTAACCTGCAATGGTGTATTTTTTTGCAAAAAATAATGCTGAGTGTGTGAGTCACTTGTTCTTAGATTGTACCTTTGTCCCTAAAATATGGAATAGTCTTTTGGAGATTCTAGGAATTCCTTGGGTGTTTCCAAAAAGTTGTGACTTTGTTCTCTCTATATGTAAATGGGCTTTGGTTTTAGCAATAAAGCTACGGTCCTATGAAAATGTGCGGTATTGCTTTGTTCTGGGTGATATTATTGGAAGAAATAGGAGGATTTTTTTATGATAGAGAGCCTCCTTGAGAAGATGTATGGGATAAAGTATCATACTTTTTTTAGATAAGAAACAAAATTTCATTAATAGTAAAAACTGACATTATTCGAGCAAATGTGGACAAGGAGTCCAATCTTATTACAATGATAACAAAAATACAACAAGATAACCACCAAGATTTCAAAAGTCATCTTCCACAAGATGCCATCCAACTCAATGTAATTACTTTGATCAAAAAAAAAAAAACTCAAATGTAATTATAAAAAAGAGGGATATCCTCAAAATCCTTAGTTACCGAAGCACAAAAGGAGGCTAAGAAAGAGATCCGGTCTCATAAACCTTCCACACCTTCCTTTTTGTCTCCTAAGATATATGGGATAAAGTATCATACTTTTTTTAGATAAGAAACAAAATTTCATTAATAGTAAAAACTGACATTATTCGTGCAAATGTGGACAAGGAGTCCAATCTTATTACAATGATAACAAAAATACAAGAAGATAACCACCAAGATTTCAAAAGTCATCTTCCACAAGATGCCATCTAACTCAATGTAATTACTTTGATCAAAAAAAAAAAAACTCAATGTAATCACAAAAAAGAGGGATATCCTCAAAATCCTTGGTCACCGAAGCACAAAAGGAGGCTAAGAAAGAGATCCGGTCCCATAAACCTTCCACACCTTCCTCTTTGTCTTCTAAAATTCTCGAATTTCTTTCCAACCAGATGACCCAAACAATTGTAAAGACCACAAATAGCCAAAGAGTAAACCCTTTTCCACTCCCGCCCAAATCTTTGTACTCAATTGAGATCATACTTAGCTTCTTTTTGGGCTTCATCATCCACGGACTTTTAGGAATGCTGTTATTTTTTATTCAAAATCATTTGGCCTTAAAAAAATAAAATAAATAAAGTGTGTGAAGAGTGTTATACATGGTACATTCTATTTCCTTGGATTTTTTCTCAGTTTCCTACTTTTGTTATTTTCTCTTTTATTCTTCTTTCTTGTAGATGATTTCTTGTTCTTTTATGAACGTTTTTCGTTTCCTATTAAAAAAAAAGAAGAGGTACACTTCTTTCATGGCTGCTTTATGATTTTGTTTTTCTATCTTTGAGGGTCAGTTGTATGCATTATTGGTTTTGGTCTCACATCCAGTATAATATATAGTTTGGAAACTTTCCTAACACGTTTTAGGGCTTTGTCTTGAGATGTTTCTATGTGCATTGGGTGATTGCCTTCTCTCAGTCCGACATAGTGGAAGACGTGTCTAGTGTTGAGAAATCGCGGCAAGGAAAGAGTAAAGAAATAGAAGAAAAGAGTATATTTGGTTCTGTAGATACAAGTCAATCTGCAACTGGTTGCTGCATGTCCTTGTTAAAGTGGCATATTGAGCCCACTTGTGATTGTTAACTTGGTTTTTACTTCAGTCACGTATTGTTTTAGAAAAAATTATGTGTAGCTAACTTGGTCTGAGTCCAGTTTTTGGAGTATCTTGGGGTTAGTGCATCTTGAGTTATTAGTGTGTCTATCAGCTTAAAGTAAGGGGAGAATATCCAAGTTTACTTATAAAAAACAACCTTGTAACCACCTTTAGCAATTCCAGATATTTTTACCTAATTTATTGTTTTAAGAACTGCATTTGCATTATCAGTTGTATATGATTATGAACTGGGGGAGTTTCAATACACCTTACCTGCTTTGTTTGAGATGACATGGTATTTGTTCTGTAAAATCCTCCATCTGGCTAGTCATTTGGCCATTCGGAAAGTCTAGTAACTTGTGTGCACGTGGATGAAATTGAACTGCGAGTTGGGCCCTGCATGTAAATGTCCATACTATCTGAAGTGTTGTTTGACTAAAAGCAGGACAGACATTTGTAGTCTCAAAGAGACCCATGAGGGGGCATGGAAGAGAGATGATTCAATTGGGCCACCCCGTTGTAGATGCAGCTGCTGAAGATGATGCTTTGGCTGGGACCTATAAAGGCATGTTCATGGTTTTGAGGGGGAATCACACTTTGCGCTATAGAAGATTTAAGAGTTCTCACATTGTAATCTCAAATATTAAATTTTCCACATTGCACACTCAATGTATTAAAAGTATTGCAATATGACCCTTCCGTTAGCTTCCATTGAATATTCGATCAAAATTTACCACATTGACGTTGACAGGACGAGGAACAGAAGCTAACGGAAAGGGTTGACCAGATGAGTAATGGAAGCTAACGGAGAGGGTAAATTGCAACACTTTTAATACATTGAATGTGCAATGAAGTTTAATTTGAGGGTGTAAAGTGGGAATTTTTAAATCTTTTGCGGTGTAAAGTGCAATTTGCCCTAACTTTGAAGCCCTCTTCTTGAGAACCAAATTATGGAGTAATTTATTTATTGCTGTTTTTTTAGGAGACGAAATTAATAGGTTTTTTTCTTGGACCGAGGTTTTTGAATTTGAACTGAAATTTGCAGATCGGAGACTCGAACCAATCCCTGGATTCATGCAGGATGTTATTGAACGGTTAATTGCTATGCAAATTGTTACTGTGAAGCCAGACTCTTGCATTATTGACATCTTCAAAGAGGTCTCTGACAATAGTATTAGTTGACTGGTTTTGGAAATTGTGCATTAAACTGGGCCTAGGCAGCTCTAATTTTGTTGCTTTTATATGTAGGGTGACCACTCACAGCCTCATATGTGGCCACATTGGTTTGGAAGGCCTGTGTGTGTGCTGTTCTTGACGGAATGTGATATGACTTTTGGGAAAGTAATTCTGGCAGATCATCCTGGGGATTATAGAGGCTCTTTAAAGCTTTCTCTCACACCTGGGTAGTTCCTGCAACCCCCCCCCCCCCCCCCCCCCCCTCTTCTCTTCTTCCTCTTCCTGTCTCTCACACCAAAAAAAAAAAAAAACCTACACAGATGCTCACATTAGTTAGTTGTTTTGGGTTTTGACAAGTTCTGTCACAAGGGTTAATATGCGCTTAATAATTTATGGGACCAACACTGAGTAATGCCTCTTGTAAAGCATAGTTTATTTTCTGGTCAGTGGGAAACTGCTAGTATTCAACTTCTTTCCCAGCTGTTTCCATCATTCAATTTCTCATCATGAAAATGCAGATCAATGCTTGTAATGCAAGGAAGAGCTGCAGATTTCGCCAGACATGCACTTCCCTCGCTACGAAAACATCGCGTACTGGTTACATTGACAAAGTCACAACCGAGGAAAACCCCAAGTGATGGTCAGCGCTTCTCTTCACCTGTAGTAACGTCACACTCACACTGGGTCTCACCTCCCAGCAGGTCACCAAATCATATTCGTCATCCCGTGGGTCCCAAGCATTATGGGTCATTGCCAACAACCGGGGTATTACCAGCTCCAGCTGCTTGTCCACAGCTTCCACCTCCAAATGGCATCCAGCCAATTTTTGTGCCCTCGACAGTTGCAACAGCCATGCCTTTTCCTGCACCAGTTTCTCTCCAACCCGCCTCAGCTGGGTGGACTGCAGCTCCTCCACCTCGTCTACCTGTCCCTGGCACTGGTGTTTTTCTTCCTCCTGGTTCGGGCAATGCATCAACTCCATCATTATCATTAGCTACGGCAACCGAGAGCTTTTCTATGGAGACCCTGTCCCTGTCAGAGAAGGGCAATGGTTCAGGAAAACCAAATGGTAACAACAGTGCTTATCCGAAAGGTAAAGTAGATGAAATAGTGCAATGGCAGGAGTGCAATGGCATGAACGACGGAACTGGTGGGACAATGTTGACGACAAAGGAAGAACAGCAGCAAAGTGTTGATTCAAATACAGCTGGCAAACCAGCTGGGGCAGTTTAGGGAGAGAGACGAACATGGGGATTGTATTCTTTTCTGAGAAAGTGTGAGGCTGAAAACTGCAATGAGTTTTACATAAATTGTAAACAGCGGCAAAAAAATTGAGGCTACACTAGTCAAACATGGGAGGGAAAACAAAAAGAGTAACACATCAGTTCTCTGTTGAGCTCCTTTGCTCCCTGTTCCTTTTTTGTTGCCTTTTATTATATAAAATCCGTATATTAGTCCCGTAACTCGTTCTCATTTTCCCTTTTTAACTAGAGTTTCATGGAAATTTTTTATGGGGTCAGAATCAGTAATGAGCACTGATTACTTTTATACGACTCTGTTTTGAACCAACGAAGCAGGTTGATGAAATAGATTAGATTCCTCCCCTCTTATTAAATATATCTTCTTTCTTTAGTTGATTTGTTGTTACTTCTTTTGCCAAGTAATTGAGAAGAAGATTTCCTCAATTTTGCCCAGAACAAGAACATGGTTTTGATTGATGCTGAAAATGAATATGTGAACATTTTTTGGCAGGCCATCTTTTACTGGAGACGAGTATGGTTTTCATTGAAACAGATGAAGGCGGAATGTTATCGGATCGAGAGTGGGGACGAACATAATGATAATATATATTGGGTGCGGATTGAGTGTATCTATGAGATATTTACAGTTTCCACGTTTTTCTTATGTTTTGCGGATTTACTCTAATCTATTGCCGGCAAAATCACAACTGTCTTTACCTGGTAAGATCAAAATTATATTGGTATTAAGGTGCTTATGTTTTATGATTTTTTAAAATTTTTATGCCTTTTAGCTCCCGCTCCCACTCCGTTCTCGATCTATGTGACTTATGCTTTACGAGGTGCTTAAAAATAGAAAAGGGGTAATGGGGAGAGGAGATTAGGGCAGAAAAAAAAATGTTAAACCAATGACACAGGCTGTGATTTAAGGATTTTAAAAATAAAAACTTATGAGCGGAAAAATAAAATTTGAGGGTAACTCATAACTTTGAAGTGATAGTTCAATAAAATATAGTCCGTATGTTTTAACTTTTTTTTTACTAAGAATTAATCCGAACTACAAAAAATTTAAGATAAGTTAAAAATTCAAAACATGTGTTACTTTATTATAATTTATTAGATTATCCAAATTCACCAAAAATAAACCTAAATCTATTAAATTATTTTTTATTAATTTCTGATCGAATTTAGGAATGGGCAGTAGAATTGCTAGGCTTAGGCAACGCTAACAAGGAGACGATAACTATAAAGTAAAGTAAAAACCCATATATATCATACCAATTCAAAGTTCAAACCCATAAAGTCCGGGTTTAGAGCTCACTGCAGAAGAAACAGAGCTTTGTGAAGAAATTCGAGGCTTCAAAGTTTAAACAGAATATGGCAGACACAGAGCATCCCCGCCTCATTCTCCACAACTTTCTCTCCCCAGATCTCTGCAAGGTTCCTATTCATTTGTTACATATGCCTATAAAAGCTATATGAACACATTTACCCAAATGATGATTGTTGTGTCGTGTTCTGGTGATAGGAATTAGAGTTTATACACAAGAGCTGTTGCACAGTTGGGTATAGACCCAGTGTTTTCTCAACAACTCTCTCTCATCTTATCGCCACCAACTGTGCCCAGTTGATCATGCCCATTGTACCCATCAGAGGTATTGATATTGTTTCTGACCATTGACTATATTCTTGTTTGGTTACTGAGAAAGTTAAAATGAAAAAATATGGTGTTTGTAAGCTTGTTTTGTTTGTGGGTGTTGTGTGGATGGCAGAGAGGATAAAAGAGAAGGTGGAGGAGTTCTTCGGTTGTGAGTACGAGCTTGTTGTTGAATTTACTGGGTTGATCAGGTTGGCTTCTCCTCTATGCATTTTTTTATTTATTATTTTTTGGCTAATTCTATGCATTTTTATATGCTCTATATCTATTTTATGTTTCGAAATCTTCTAAATCCAAACAATCTTACTATTATGAAGAAAAGAGAGAAATTCACGAGATATGGCAAAGCTAAAATTTGCTGATTTTTGGATATTTGCGCATGTGTGTCAGAGTCCAAGGTAAAAAACCATACTGATGTAGTACCAACTTAGAAGTTTATTTATTCTAGTTTTTCTTGATTCTTCCTGCTATTAAACTTTAGTTAGGAATATTTTGTTTACTCAAGATTTATTCATATTCCTATTTCGTGTCAACTTACATTTTTCCACCATGGATCTATCAGTTGTTCGTCAATTATATTTCAGAGTTTTTAATCTTTGGTCCAATGGTACTCCTCGTCTTGTAAAGGCTTTGTCAGGATAAGGGTTCAAACCCCCCTTCCCTCCAATTCCCCGCCCCGACCACCCCCCCGGGAAATTTTTTTTTTTTTTGAAAAAAAATAGTGGATTCAAGATTGTGTCTCATATTTATCTTGTGGATGCAAGATTGTTTGTGATCATTCTTTTAGTAAAATCCGTTTTCTCTGTGTTCGCTACCACAACATGATGTTGGATGCAAAACAATCTTACTACTAAGCACCTGTGGTGGGGAAATCAAAGGTCATCCGTGAGAAATCAGCATAAATTTTGGTAGAAAATGGTGTGAATCAAGTGTTGCTTGCAGTTAAAAAAAAAAATTTATTGCTTAAAAGTATAGATAGACCTTTGAGTTCCATGGGTATTTATGGCAGGGACCTCCAAAAGTAGCAGAATCTAGTTTGCCTGATGTAGTACTTGGAAAAGATCGAATCACCCATTCTTTGCTAGCTAGCTCAACAAGCTCTCTTCGAATTCGTTAACCTCGTTGGTCTAAGAGGCATGTACACGGATACGATACAGACACGCTGACACAAAATTTTTCAAAAAAATAGGACAAGGACATGTTGGAGATACGTTAAGTAATGTGTTGTATGTGTGTATATATATATATGACTCTGTGATAAAATAAAAATATTAGCATAATAATCTTTTAATTCATCATTTCCATAATTCTAAAAATTCACATCATGAAAAATATAATATAAGATGAAAAAAAAAATAAGATGTACCAAAACACATTCAACATTAACATCTATGATCCAACAACTATAACTTTTATTTTCAAAAAAATTCCACTTCGTAACACTAATTTTCATTAATTTTAAAGAGCTCAATTTTGTAACCTCATTTTTTCTCACATTACTTTCATATTAAAAGTTTATTCTATTTGTATATAAATTCGTATTCATATATAAAATTATGTTACGTTCATGTCCTATGTTCAATGTAGTGATTATAACTCTTTTTATATTATGACTTTGACTGGCTGGCTGTCTGGAACTGCCCGAACTATCCCTAGCAACTATAGGGTGCTTGACTCTATGTCGAGGTGCTAGGCCATGGTGACAGGAGCAACCGGCAAGCCCAATTCAGGAGTTCAAGTGTATTCAACCAGGGTGGTGACTGTAGTTGTTAGTAATGTGAAAGATCGGTGCACACATCTTAGTGCTCGGCTTTGTATTTAGTCTGAATGGGATGTAATATCATCCTAACAAGAACACACAACCAAACGATCGGCCTTTATCATTAGCCTCTGCTCGGATCATGGGCTCTGCCTCTTAGGGCTGGTCCGAGATCTTTTCCTTTTTGTCGTGAATGCTTTGGGTCTAGTCATGTCTAATGTTATCCCAGGGCATGTTCTGTCACTTGCCATTTTAGATGTTGCTTTCTAAATGGATTACTTCTTGTCCCCCCTCAGCTATGTCATGGCATAGTGAATTTGCTTCAGTCACCATTCAAATGTTGATTAAGTTGTGACTTGTTTATAGCTTACTGTTAGAAAGTTCTGATTACTTGTTACTGCCAGATTTGATATTTCTTTATTTTATCCTTCCTACCTAAAGTTTGTAAGAATGACAGTTTTTTATAAGATGAAACTGCAAAATTTGTATGGATAAAACCTTAGACTACACGAAGACATGGTTATAATCTCAACAAGGTAGAATATTGGTTAAATGGAACAGTTCACAGTTTAAGAGTTGAAAAGAAAAATGTGGCATTCTTCAGCTTTACTTCAATTTATATTTTCTATCATTATTGTTTGAATTATTTCTCATCCTTCCTAGTCTTGTACCCTTCTATTGCTTTTGCAAAATATATTTGCTCTTAGTCAAAAGTAGGAAAAAACCGTTGCTTCTTTTTCTTCCCTCTATCATACAATCAAGGATCTTATCAGAGTTGATAAAGATGGTTGTGCTTATGCTTATAGTCAATTCTTGCTTCTTCCAAAGTGTACAAGGCATTCCTCTTGGCGTTTATTTATTTATTGCCTCCCATTTGGAATTTTCAGAGCTAGGACTTTTAAGTCTTATCCGCTGGTTTATTATTGTTACAAATGAACAAGGAGGGCATTAAGCCAAACCCCACCAGCAGAAAAAAGGATGAAAGGTACTTGAAAACATAGCCCTTGATACACAGATACAGTGGAATTGAAACAATATTATTGCTGCAGACAATAGGCTTTGTTGGGTATTTTTGTCTCAACTACAAGGAGTACTTGCTATTTTCAGTGGCCATCTAATTTTAGGCTTAAGAAATTTTGTTTTGTGATTTGTTGTAATGGTGAAAATCAGGCATAAATCTTATTTGCACATCATGATCAGATATAGGAACACTTAGTATTTGTCACTTTTAACTTTTGTCAAGAGTTATGACATGATTTTTTTTTAGTATTCACCTATATTGTTGACCTCTGTGTTATATATATATATACTAATCATTGCCTGTGCCTGAAGGCACTATGTTACTTATAAAATTTCAACACACAACGATAAGATATTTGAATAATTTCAATATATAGCGATTAGATTGGTTTTGAATATTTTTTGTCGGTGCAATTGGTATCTTATTTTTTTTGTATTGGTCACCTATTTTTTTTTAATTGCTGATTAGCTTGGGCTTTGAATTTTTTTTTTATTTTCTGAGAATTATAGGTTTTCATACAGTAGTGATTTATTTTTGGTATGAATAATAAATTGATGATTTTATTTATGGATTATAAAGACAATTTAAATTTCATTGATTGATAAGAAGTAAGAAGTAAACATCAACCACTGTTACTAAGATACGTGATAAGAAGATCTACGTACGGTGTATTTTAGGTGTGAATCAGTTTGTAATAAGAAGGATGAAAAATTATATAGTAAGTATATAATGGTTTTTAATGAAATATTATACCAAAGGTTTTGAAAAAATCGATAAACCAAATAACTTACATGTCAAAAAATGGTGACATTGTCCATTTGGGTACTGATTTTTGCATTGTAGTGATGGTGTGTATGAGGTTATTGGGGTCAAACGTAAATTGACAAATCTTGAAAAAAGAAGTACTAAACTTAGATATATTATGTATTTTATGTGTGTTTAATAGAAATATTTTTAATTTTATGCAAAGTTTTATCGTAAAATTAGAAATTAAACAAAACCAACCTAAATCAAGGTACAAACAATACACTTTTAACATATAACATTTAATAACAATCAGTTAATAACAATATATCCACGACTAAACTACACGAACATTAAAAATTAAAAACAACAAACTATTGTCAAAGCATACACTACTAAACCAACACAAAAAAATCATCAATATTCATAAACACGAATAAATGTTAAACATTTTCTAATTGCACAGTTATAAAAATTAAACATAAAATATTTGATAACTACCCATTTATAAAAATTGAACAAAAAAAATAATCAACATGAAATAATGAGATGCTTTGCCATTAACAAAATTTGTAATAGATATTCTTTTAACTAATCATTTATGACAATCAACAATATGTTTTGTTTATTTTCAATAAAAATTAAATTTTTGAGAACTATAAGTTTTCATGTAATTCTGAGTAAAGTGGTGATTAGGTATGAATAATAGTTCGAAAGTTTTACTTATGTATTGGATATTTGTATTTTTTGTTTGTGTGAAAGTGGTGATGACAATTACATTGATTTTGAATTTTTTTTGTGCAATTGATAATACTTGTTATTTTTTATTAGTCACTTATTTTTTTTTATTGGTGATTAGATTGAAATTTTGTTTTTTTTTTGTTTTTGAGAACTACAAGCTTTCATATAGTAGTGATTTATTTTTGGTATAAATAATAAATTTATGATTTTATTTATGGATTGTATATTTATACTTTTTATTTGTGCGGAAGTGGTGATGGCGATTAGATTGGTTTTGAATCTAACTACTTTATTTTATATATATATATATATATATATAGAGAGAGAGAGAGAGAGAGAGAGAGAGAGAGAGAGGAGAGGAGATGAGATAGTGTGTTTAAAATGTCTAAGAGATAAGAGAGAGAGAGTTATATGAGAGATAGGAGTGTTAGAGTTAAGTCCAATTATAATCGTCGGATCATAATTTTTGAGATAATCTGAACTGCCTTTTATGTTGAGATTACATTATCTGTTGGATGTGTTTATATTTTGTCTCAAAACGATTTGGACGTATCTTTATCTTTTGTATTCAAATTTCGTTTTACTTTATTATATATATATATATATATATATATATATATATATATATTTTACGACCAAGTTGTCTTTCTTTCACACACTCTATGCTTGCTTTCATAGTGAAACAGATTGCTTTTGGTTCAAATCTGAAAGTTCTGCGACTCCTTCCTGTATTTTACTAATGTATATAAAAACAATTTCAAGGTAGCAAATAATGTTGGTAGTCTTAGTGACTCAATAATCCATAAGTTATTGCAAGTCTTTGCATTTTGAGTCACAGATTACAAATATCATCCTTACTTTTCCAATGAGTAAAGCGATCACTTATATTGACTCTTAGACTAGATTAGTTATGAATTATGATGCATGAATTAGGACTTAGGAATTTCATAAGGACTATAGGCTGCCCTTAAAACTCACTCCAATTGAACTGTGTTACCTACGCCCGGTTGCCCAAAACTGGTCCTCAGGTTTTTCTTTACCACATTATTTGTTGCTTAAACTTAGGCTTGTGACTACTACAACACTCCCACTTAATCGCAGGTCTTCCTGCTGGAATTCAGACAATTGATGGGTTTCAACTTGAGTTTTGTTTGGCACCATTCTTTGACCACTCTGTTTTCTTTCCATAGCAACTTATTGATGACTTGCAAATTCAAGTGTTCCCTTCCAAAGAACAATGTTCCCATTTCTTTCTTCAATTGATCTCTTGAGAAATTCCACAAGAATGGATCATCGAAAGTCCAAGACAAATTCGATGAGTACTGTCCAAAAGTACGCATCATTCATTTACTGATTCATAGCAACTTCTAGTGACTCTTTATTCCTCATCCTCAATCAGGCATTTAATCAGCAATCAGAAATTCTTGTAATCAATTACTCACTTCTCTTAATTGGATTTTTTAGATGGATAAACGCATTTCTGGCCTGCAAAAATTGCTGCTAAGAAAAGGTATTTTGCTGTGAAACTGCAAAGAAGCTCAGGTAGGCTGTAATAATAAGAATCCTAGCTCTAGAATAAGTGTTAAGACAAACGTAGTCTGCCTCTTTCTATAAGTGACCTTTAACCTTTAATATTTCCAGTGACTTTTACAAGTGCTAGATTGGCACTTCAACTAGACCAATTACAATGCAGGAACAAGGACATTGAAATTCCATAAGCTATAATGTAGGCTGGTTATATGCATTTTTCTGTCAAGTTTGATCAGAATTTTGTGTCATCTTAGCTTTGATAACACTGCATGGAATTACAAATTTTGTCAGCACCAACCCTTTTGGTATTTTCCTAGTTTAACCTTGTCCCCTTGACAAGTATCTTCTCTGATGCAACTGATTGTGCTTGAATCAGAAATTTAGTTGTCCACGTCATTGTTAAAAGGTTACAGCTCTGCCTCTCCTTATGCTATCCATACCCACATCTCTTTCCCTGCACTGCTGTCTGTGATATGTGCAGAAAGTTGAGTACAGTTTCAATCTTTTGGTTGGAGATTTTGTAGGAACATGAACAAAGACTCTATTGCCATAAAAATGGAAAACGTGAACTACTTGCTTATTTCTGTGGGTTATTTATGAACCCAAATGTGGTTGAATTTGCAATAACAGGAAATTTTCTAAATTTAGTCAATTTTATAGCAGCTTCTGACACAAAAGTTGTAGAGATTTAGCTCTGTTCACCCAACTCTTTCTTTTTCTTCTTCAAGTATCTAGAGTTCATTATTAACATTTCAGTAACATCTTTTTTGGATCTTGAATCTCCTGGGAGAGCTCTGTTCAGTACTCTTAGCTGTTTTCATACCCGTAACATTGATACCTCTGCTGTTCCACCAAAAATACAATGGTATTGGGGTTAATATTTTATAATAATATAACAGCTGGAGGAGAGGAGCAAGCATTGGATGGCATAGTGATGATAACAGATCTTATCTCAAACAACGAGAGTTTGCGGTGTGTATGCAGCTTTTTAAAAATATTTCAAGTTGTCTGTATTTAACTTTTTCTTCCTTCTAATTTAGCAATTATACAATCCTGCTCAAATATTATAGCATTGTTTAATAATTTTAATATTTCCTGATTTTTAAACTGGTTGTGAGTGCACCAAATACATGGTGAATATGTACCAACTTCAAACTAAATGTTGAAGTGTTCTGGAATCTCGTGGCAAGAAAAAGAAAGGGACATCATGGTTACATTGAGAATAAGAATTGCATCACAATACTATGTTGTACAAATGAAAATTTCCTATTTATTTCTGCTTCCTTCCCACCTTCCCATGCTTAGTTATATTCTGTCTGGTAAGTCCACAGTCAAACCTGATAATAGATGTTGTTCACCAAGAATATATTTATGGAGTTGAACTTTCCAATTGTATGGAATGTGTTCCCTTTCCCAGCTGAAACAACTCATCTGGAGTCTCCGAATCAATCATTTTGATTCTAGAGATATTAGTGTTGGTGCCTGTGTGTTGTGTTGGTTTATAATTCCATATGATAGAATCACTGTCTATGTATATGTGTTGTGGTGGGTATAATTCCATGTGAAAAAATCACTCTGTGTCTATGTGTTTAGTCATTATCAAGTTTGTAAAGTCAAAATGTAATTTTGACAGCCATTATAACTCATTTTAATTTGTGATTGGCGCGCAGTCGCTTATCTAGATTGCAAGGGGAGGATTTTTGGGAATTGTTATAGGATTGAAGTAGGGGCTCAAGTAGGTGTGTTAAGCTTCTGAATCGTACCAGTTCAGGAAAAGGTTACAAGACTTTGATACATAGTCAAAAATCATGAGTAATTTAATGCATCTCTAATCTATTTGACTGAAATTTTAGAAAATTTCAAGAATTCAAGGTTACTGAGAACAACATCCCAGTGATGATTTGGTGATTGTCTGTTATATTGACGGTGGAGTTCTATTAG